AGGGATACGATAGTCTGTAGGAGAGTGGTAATAACGCCGAACGAAGGAGGATATAAAATACAAAAGCCAGAAAGAATCTCCAACACGTTTGGCCTATGTTTTTATTTTCGGTCTAATTCCTTTAGAGATTCGAAACCTTTCAGCATTATGGCTTTTTAAACTATGCTAATCCATTCAACGTTATCACAACGCATATCTGATCCCTTTAATTTTATATAAGAGAAATAAGGTTTAATTTAGATTAATACATGATAAATTGGGATAAATAGCACATGGCTTAGCATTTTATAAATCCAATTTTAAGACATTCACTCTATCAAGTATTGTAAAAAAGGTGAAGATGTGTACATTATCAAAATATAAGTTAGACTTCAACTCAAATGCACTACGTTTAAAATTATACCAAAATGGATATAGTTAAGTATATTAATTTTGTTGAATTTCTCGCAAATATGCTCGAGCGCTATGTATGCTATCCCTATTTTTGAAGTGAGAGATTAGATGGGAAGCAACAGCTAGTCAACACCAATCACCGTCAACTCTTGAGTTACTTTTTACCAACATAATAACACTCCCACAGCTGAAAGGTTAAGCTTGTTTGGTGGCGGTTTTCGATCCCGCGACTAGCAGTTTGCGAGTAAAGCGACCTAACCACCAGGCCACGTCAGGTCAGTTAGTATGAATGTACAGTTGTTTCGATGAAACTTAATGTAAGAGTAAGACACTACATAAGTATATATTCAATGGCCAGTTGCAGAACATTAAAGTTCTCAAAACTACTAGAAATTTACAGTATAGACTATTCTATACAATGCAATGAGTGAGCAAAAAAGGATAAGAAATATTGCAGTGTAAAAGTTTAATAAATAGCCCACGCGATTGGTAAATTTTAATGGACTTTGTGTTTTGTATGGTATGGTATTCTCGACCCGAAATATACCTTATGCGACACTTCGGCAAAACGGTGAGGTCAAAATTTTAGACAATCAGTAAGAAGTACCACCGACTTACACTGCTACTCTCAGACGAATACAGGAATTAATTGCTGAAAGAGGACTGCGTTCAGTGGCATACTTAGCGGGGCTTGAACCGTGGGCATTCTGTTCCACAGCCTGGCACGCTAAACTAGTCCACACCTAGTCCAATTTACGCTTGTCTCGTAAAGATTAGCCAGGTGGTTGTCAATAAACAACTGTGTGGGTAACCGATAATATACAATAAATTTAAAACATATATTATTTCGTATCTGAATATTTTAAGCATGTTTCTAACAATGCAGGTTATAGCTCATAATTTCTCGCTTGTCCTTCGGCAAGTTTCGTAACAATATTTTTTGTAAAACGTGATACTGGTTTAAGAATGTAGTATAACCAGAATTCCCATGTTCGCCATTGCAAAAAACCTACTTGACTATATCAGCGACGAATCATAGCGATATAACTATAGATAGTTTTGGTTTTTTTATGTATTCAATTCAGTAAGGAAAAAGTGGAAGAGTGTGATAACTATTTGAAAACTAATGAAATCACTAATACTAACTGCTAAACGGCGGTTTGAAGCACAGTATTAGGCAGAATTATATTCACAAAATACTATGACTAATAATAAACACTCGAATTTCGTACAACGGTAATATGATGTCCAGATTATGGACGTAATGGAATTTAAACTTGGCATATTACCCGAGACATTTTCTTCATCATCATTCTACCATTGTACAGTAAAATCAGGAAGACCAAACAATGTGGTTAATACAATATATATATTCCAGGGCTGAGCTATCGGGGGGGAGGGGGGAATTGTTCAAGTAAAGAGCATTAGAAGATTGGAAGTTGGCTATTGTTATTTCAATATTTAAAGGAGGTGTTAAACATTGTCCAGGCAATTATAGGCCAGTTAGTCTTACAACAGTAGTTGAAAAGGTTTTGGAGAGTATGATTGCATTGCAGTGTCACTCAAAGTAGTTTGATATTGTGTCAAAGAGCCAGCATGGTTTCACTAAAGGAAAGTCTTGTTTAACAAATATCCTGGCATTCTTTGAGGGTGCTACTTCAATAGTTGATGAAGGAAATACTGTGGATTTGGTTTCCTTTGATTTTCAAAAAGAATTTGATAAGGTGACCCACAAAAACTTGTTACAAAAATTAAATATGTGGGTGTGGGGGGAAATGTCATTAAATTGGATAGAAAATTGGCTGGCGAGTAGAAAGCAGAGAGCAGTAATAAATGGAGATCGATCTGACTGGATCTCAGTTACAAGCGGTGTGCCTCAGGGCTCTGTGCTGGGTCCTCTGCTGTTTGTGATTTATATTAATGATACTGACTCTGGAATGACTAACAAAATGTTGAAGTTTGCAGATGACATTAAGATTTTTGGGGTGGCTGACTGTATCAAAGATGCTGCAGACTTACAGGGAGATTTAGATCATTTGATGCATTGGACCAATACATGGCAGATGATGTTTAACTATCCAAAATGTAAAGTGATGCATGTAGGTTTCACAATTCAAATTATTGTTACAATTTAAATGGGAATACATTAAATACTGTGGTTGAAGAAAAAGATCGTAAAAGTGATCTGTGCAGTGAAACAATCCATATTCCTATTAGCCCTATTGCTAGCTACAAGACACTGTTTAGATGACTTAAGTGATTTTTCAATCATAACACCAAGGCAAAATTTTATAGGGACAAAAAGGAGCTTATTAGCCCATCAAGGATGTCCCTTCCAGCTCCCAACTATAACCATCCCTTAGTACTCATGTATTCATACAATCTGTTCTTAAACTTAGTTAAATTTTCTGCCTCCACCACCCTTAAAGGCAGCTCATTCCAAAAGACAACTGCCCTGTTTGCAAAGTAATACTGTCAAACTGCAGATGACTCCTACACTGCCAAAATTAATTTATGTCTCCTTGTCTTCACTGGTAAACACAAAAAAGTTTGATAGATCTATATTATCAATACATCTAATAATCTTAAAACACTTCAATCAAATCCCCTCTGACCCTTCTCCTCCAGAGAAAACAAGTTTAGAGATTTTAGTCTCTCCTCATAGGACATTATCTCAGGTATTATCCTAGTGGCTCTTCTCTGAACCTTCTCCAACAATTCAATGTTCTTCTTGAAGAAGTGAGCCCAAAATTGTACACAGTACTCTAAATGAGGTGAAATATAAATTTATGAAAGAACGACTATGAAACACGCCATTCTAAACAACTGCACATGAACAAAGCACTAACAGTGTTGTGTATTACAGTCCCCTATGTGACTTCAGAAGCCACATAATTTTTAAAGTATTATACTGCATATACAAAAACCATTTCATAGTGTCTTTTGTCTCTCATTGTCCAGCCCAACTGATGAATTCTGGTAATAAATGAAAAGCTTATTTGGCAGTGAGTGGCTTGTGTGAGACAAAAGGTAGATCTGAAATTATATTTTTTGCCCATGCCTTATTTTGAGACCCAACAGACAGATTAAGAGGAATGTGGAAAAAAACAACATCCGCAGTTAACTTGTTTTATAACACTTCCCAACTTTAGTTTAATAACAAGTGATATGGCCTTATGTCGTTCTCCAAAATACTGTTCTGTAGCAGGAACTAAAAACTCCTCTGGTGTGTAACTAAAACCAAATACTATATTTTTACTCACACAGCAATCCTGCATTTATAAAGAAATTTTAAGAATATGCAGTATTGATGCAACTACTTTATTCTTATGAACTATTCAGCCAGACAAGCTGTTTAAAATACTAAAAAATAAATGTGAAGCCCAATCTACCAATTGATTTACCACTAGTCACTGAGTTATACTGGTTTCATGGAAATCCACTTTTTACCAGCAACCCTGGACAAGGACAAACTGAAAGAATAAGACTAGGCTTCATAAAGTGGTGGAATGTATACTATGGTGTAACCAAAAAACAGAAGTACAGTCACAATTGTGTTTAAAAAAGTATGAAGCCTGTAATAAGTTTGATTTTTATATGATAAAACATCAATTGATTTACTGTAAAAATATTCTAGGCATACATGCACCAACAAAGAATGTGTGTGTGTGTATACACATACACACCTATTGAATTTCAAACATCAAATATAAAAAGTTCAAATTCTATCAACAGAAATGTTTTAATTGGGTAAAAGATGATAAAAATCTCAAACTTTCTCTGATGTTGAAAACTATCTTTCTCAAACAGAAATTCTATAAACTATCAGAAACTTATCTCTGAGTTGGATTGTTTTTTTTTCACATACTATACAAAAATAGGAGTTCTGCAATAAGCAGTATAATACACTGCAGTTTAATAAAGATAGTATTTTAGAAATAAGTTAGGATAATTAGTTCACCCATTAAAAAAAAAGGTGGTGAATATGCATTTGTTTATCATAGAAATGTTTTTTCTTTGTTCATAAATATGCAGGAAGTTATTTTTATTCACATATACAATACATTTCACTCAAGGATCATTCAATTTTCTATTTACACCCCATGTAATCAAGTGTAAAAGACAGTTACAATACTGTAAGGGAATGTACTTTTAGAACTGACAGAGGACTCACTTGATGAGATGTAACCTTATATCTTATTAGAGAAACACAAACAATAAAAAATTACTTTTTGTACCTGCCTTATTTACCTACATATACATATTATGCATAATCAAATAAAAAATCAAGTGCTGTATACTTTTTATATATATCTCATATAATCCAAAAGAAATAGCACTGTTACAATAATGTAGGTTTATAAACACAATTCAACTACTGTTCTCATATTGCTAAATATAACATAGTCATAATATTGCTTAAACAATGTTAAATTACCATTTTATACATAAATGCATACCCATAGATCCAGTATACCACTTACACTGCTACAAAATCACATTTTCAATACTGGAAAGTCTCAGGTTGTCAATTTATTGCATTCTTTTGAAATACAGTCTACTTGAACTAATAGTTGAAAAAACTGTTAAAAGATTAATCCCCTTACCTCTCTACCCTGGTTTGCCTATCCCGTTCATGGGCCATTACACGTAGTTCCTCTTGATAGTGGGCCTGTGCCAGGGCCCAGGAATTGGGCAATGAGGACAAATGGGGATATTTCTGAGTCCATAACATGTCCACTCCCACAGGTGATCGATACTGTGGAGGAAGCATTGTGTGTTGTGGCAACATCTGACGGTACACTTGAGAGTGAAGTGTGTGCTGGTCCATATGGCCAGAGCTGGCTAAACCAGATACTGGATGTGTAGGAAACACACGTGGAGAAGTCATACCATAAGTTCCAAGCTGAGTAGGTGGTAAACGTGCACCTGACATTCGGATGGATTCAGTGGCATTAGAAAGTTGAGTATAAGCTCCTGTAGCAGAGATTGCTGTGTGAACTAGTCCAGTTGGATGCATGACACGTTGAACGTAGTTGTAGTCAATGTGAGGTATGTTACTGATGGTGTCCTTTACTTGGTTAGAGTCTCTATTCACTGATTCAGTTTTGTTGTTTATCATAGGAATGCTGGTGTCATGTTTGGGGAAACTGTTAGCTGTGCAAGCCTCATCAGAAACTTTTTGCACTTCTAAATTGGACATCTCAGGGGTATGGAAATGAGTAGCAACAACCTGTACTTGATTTGAGTTACCATGGTTACTGGACACTATAACATTTGCAACAGAAGAAGTACTAACCCCCAAAGTTGTTGCTTGGACCAGACTGTCTAATGTTTGAGCCTTTGAACAAGTTACAGCAACACTGCTTGGTTTCACAGCCAGATATGATTTACATGAAAGTGATGAGACAATGGGCAAACTGTTAGCAACATCCACTACAGTGGAAATACTGGAGTCATTTTGTCTAGCAGCAACTATTTCAAATTTAGTCTTTGTGTTAATATCTTTATCTCTTTCAACTTTTACTTCTTTCTCCTTTTCTGTATTGACCTTGCTGAATAAGCAAGTACTTTCTGATATTTTATGTTCAGAAGCTGATCCCTGGCTGTGTGTTCTGCTGTCTTGGACAACAAAAGAGTTTCTCTCAATTCTAATCACAGGCTCTTTAAATTCAACAAGTTTTCTTTTTCTTTTAGAAAGTTCACATATTCTAGCTTGTTGTTGGGTCTTTTCTTTTTTTATTAATGTACCTTTATTACTGGAAGGTTTTATCAATGAATTCAGCTCACTTTTATTTTCAGCTTTCTTTTCTTTTCTTCTCACTACATGATTTCTAAATGACTTCTTCACAGTCTGATTAACTACTGATTGGCAAGTCTTTGTACCAGTTTTTTTTCTTTTCGGTTCCTCTGGCGCAACAGAAAACCTTTCTTTCTGTCTTGGTTCTTCTTTTGCAACAATGAACTTTGGTTTCTGTTCTTCTACTGCTACAAAAGAATTAGCAACCTGTTTATGTTCTGCTGCTTCAAAAATGGGCCCTTGTTTCTGCCTATGATCTTGTGCTCTAACAATAAAGCTTGATTTTTGCTTTGTTTCTGCTGCTGTTCCAAAAAACCTTGGTTTTCGTCTCTGTTCTTCTGTTACAGCAATACAAATTGATTTTTGGCTCTGTTCCACTGAAGTAACAACTGATTCTTCTTGCTTTCCACTGGAAACTAAATTAAATAATAGAAAAGCACACCTAACTGAAAAGAACTAGAAGCAGATTACAGACCCTAACAAAAACCTAGTCACACATATAAAGCTTTACTAACCATTTCACTTGCCATATAAAGTTTTAAAACAAATAAAAGACTATCAGTTGAAACCTTGAACCCTAAAATAAAATTCTGACTACTATATTTTTCATTAAAAGTTCATCAAATATATAAAATGATTAAAGCCATTGAAATTACAACATAGAAATTTAAAACATGTGTAATTTAACAAGATGCTTTAAGATTTTTAAATACATACAGTTTTAAATTATAAACTTACCCCTTTATTAGTTTCTTAGACTAGTAAAGTAACTTTGTTCCTGAAGATTTCAAACATATAATGATGATGTAATTATAAACATTGAAATTAATCTGGGATTCACAGTAATCCACAAGTTATAAAAGGAGAGAAAAAAATGTGTAAAGAAATTTGGTGATTATGGATCACACAATTTTTTGATACTATAAAGGAAATTATAATTTTTCTTTTGTTTAAATCTGACTCATGGTACATGTGCTTGCATTTTATTGTGCTTTAGTTTAAGTGGAATACACATATCTCTAGAGATTTGTGTAGGTCCTTCTATAAACAAGGTAGAGAAAAATTAAAGGCTCACAATAACCACACTGCATAGAGCTAAATTTAGTTTGGTGTTGATGATTCAGCTGTGGTGGAGGCATGACTTTGATGGGTTGAATGGGAGTTCTGTTATGTAAGTGCACTATTTAATTTACAAGATTGAGTACCCATTTATCCCAGTTATGAACTTAAAAAGATGTGGGGGTGGATGCTATGATAGATAACACAAAAAAATCCTTACTTTCAAACAAATGATTTATAACATAACATATTATTACAGTATTCATTATTACCTCACCAAAAGTTTTGTACAAGCTTTTAGAACTCAATATGCATATACTTAATATATGGTATACAGTGTGCGATGGTCAGGGTGATTTTGTACGAAGAGATAGTAGCAAAATTTGTGGCAGTAGAGATGCTTCAACTCAGCTCTTAATGTCCTTCCATAGTGTTTCATGTTATTATTCAATTGATGGTCATAGGCCGCAGAAGTTTCTTATGGGCCGAAGTTTTAAGGT